AGGAAGCTGCTGCCGAGCTGTGGGGATGGGCAGGGACTCCACTCGGAAGCCTTATGTAGCCAGGGTTTCAACACTCACTCCCCAAGTGTGAGCGCTGTTTCCTGTTCGAGGGAGTGAGCCTCCTCCTCAGAATCACAAGTCTTTCTGCAAGGCGGATATGCCTCATGGGTGTCTACCTTTCAAGGAGCAATCCTGCCTGGACTGTCTTTTCCTCAACACCTTTGCTTTCATACTAGGAACAGAACAGAAAAGCCCAAAGCCATTAAAAACAAAGTAGCAATTAAAACACCCAAGGGCACTAAACTGCTATTAGAAGAGGAATCTAGCCCCTCAGCAATATCTAAAAACGTACTTTGAGGGAGAAACAAGAAGTCACTCTTTCAGAGAAGATGAGCCACCAGGAGCCAATCTGGAAGGCCTTCATGATGTAGGTGTCTACCTTGGACAAGGTTGCAGGAACAGCTGTAACGACCAGAACAGCAGGAAGCTGTGCGGTTGCAGCCCCAGTCTGAATCCACCAGGCTAAGCTGTGCACAGGGACCACAGCCAACTACCCAGGCTCTTTCCTCCAGCTGGATCACCCTCCCCGTTCCCCAGGTATTTCCTGCTGATGCTTCTTCTATCTCAAGGTACATCTCCCTGGTAGCTCCCTGGGGAGGGGCTCCATCTTACTCATCTGTGCTGGCTACAAAGTAGGGCCTTGATGGAGGCTGGTCATCCAGACATAACCCATGCCCAGGACGAAGCATAAAAACACTTGTACAATGAAGAGTGGTTCAATGGTCCATTCTGTTTATTCAGAACAGTAAGATAAATACACCTTAAATATTAAAATTTTTTATATACAGAAATGACCCCACTCCCCAAAAAGTTTGAAAAAATATTGTCTCCTCCTAGATGATAAAGGCAGGAGGAGACAATAAACCCTAGATGACCCATGAAGGCAGAGCCAAGCCCTTGAGGCAGTTTCCTCAGCACAGTTTGGCCAACGCTGGAGGGAAGGTCAAGGAGGTTGAAGGAAAACGTTACGCTGAAAGTCCCTTTCCAACGAGGGTGCCAAGCGGCGGTCTTGAACGAAGCACCCCGCCTCAGCATCATTTCCTGAAGCGCTTGAAGAGAGGGTGCACATGTTTGCTGGGCGCCTTGCTCCGTGATGAGTGGTACTCCATGTACACAGTGTCGTCGGCCCCGGACATAGAGCTCATGGTGCCAAAGCGCCGAGATGCCTGCCGGGAAGAGGGGACCAGCCCATGTTAGTCTCCGGAAGAAAAGACACTCCTTTTATAATATTTATGATCACAGCAAATTTTATAAGATGTACATAAATTTAATACATCATTTTAAATAATGTGTACAGATCGCTTACTGTGTCTCAGGCATTGTTCTAAGCATTTGACATGCATTATCTCCTCTAATCCTCAAAACTATTATCATCCACACCTTAAAGAAGAGGCAACTGAGACACAGAGAGATTAAGTAACATCGCCAAGATCACACAGCTCTTAAGGAGATGGGGCTAGAACCCAGGTAGCCGGGCTTCAGACTGTTCTTAACCATAAGGCACACTGCCTCACTTAACAACAGCTCTGGACAATTTTTTTTTTTAAGAGAGAAACAGGGTCTCCATATGTTGACCATGTTGGCCTCAAACTCCTGGACTCCGCTGATCCTCCCACCTCGGCCTCCCGAAGTGCTGGGATTACAGACATGAGCCACTGTGCCTGTTCTGAACAGAATTCTTTTAACAGTTAGGGCAGCAGTCCCTTAAAATCTCCTGAGACACCACCATGAGGCTTTGAATCGAGTGGAAGGACAGAAAGCTCTGGGCTTGGCTCTTGGCTGCACCTGTCCCTGAGTAACCCTGGGGCAAGTAATTAATATCTGCACCTCACCTCAATGACCTCACCTGTAAAATGGGGATAACCATATCCATCCTGACATTTCTACCTGTGAGGAGAATGAACCAGGCACCTCCTCACAACCAGTGAGAGCAGTGAGCGCACGCTCCTGGGCTCCCATGGAGAGCGCTCCCTAGTGGGGGAGAAAAGCCTTAGGCCCAAGGGAGGGCGGCCCTCCGCAGGCACAGTGGCTTCCTCGGTCCAGCAGTTGCTCACCTTCCGGCTCTAATGGCAACTGAATTTCAAACGCACCTGACTGAAGTGCACTTCTCCCCTGGGACAGGCCTGATAATTCTCCATAATGATGCTCTCACTAATTACACCATATATTTGCTTGGCCTAGAGCAGGCAGATTTGTAGAATAAATGAAAGGTTGAGTATTTTCACAGAACTCTACATTTTTCAAAGTTAAGCATTGAAGCTACCACAAGAGTTGACCTCAGAGCTGTCTTAGGGGCTAGAGGGCTCAGCTTTACCACTGAGGAGGACCCAGAGGAGAACTGTGTGCCCACGACCAGGAATGGCAGCCCTGGGTGGGGAACTACGTGCCCTGGCCTATCACGCTCCCTCCAGTCGCCACCAAGGTGAGCTGGGGTCACCTGCTTGCCATCTGGGCTTCACCATCAAGATCTAATGAATATTCGTGTGAGTAAAGCAGGAGACCAGTCACAGCCACCATGAGCTCAGCTGTATGCAACAGGACCAGGGGCACACACCAAAAGGGCAACAAGGGTTGTTTCTATTAATCTCTTCTGTGTTTTCCAACATTTCCAAAAAAATCCCATGGGCCCATCCAGGGGCCCACAGACTACGTGTCTGTGTCTGTGTCTACAAACGCTGCCCTGTGGGGACACTGACACCTGGACCCTCCTCACCCATTTACTCACCTGGCTGGATCTGGAGCCAAACTCCCCAGCCACCACCTCCTCCTCGGCATCCAGGTCAGTGGCTGCCAGGACCTTCTGTAAGAGCTGCTGCTGCTCTTCTTTTGTCGAAAACGCCAAGTCTTCCTCCTCCATGCCAGCAAGCTTCGTGATCACCTGCAAAGCCCAAGCCAGCAGACATGCTCCCTTCTGCTCTCTCTCCCCAACCCTCCTCTGCCTTCTCCTGGGTCCACCTGCTCTGTTCACTTCCCTCCCCAGGCCCAGCCACCGTGGTGGCCAACAATAGAGAGCTTCTCCCTAGAATTCCAGAGACCAGCATCGGGAGCCACTTTTAACACGGAGCTTGACTAATGATCTCAAGACCGGAGGGACACAGGAATTTCAGAGAAATCTGCCCCCAACACATAGCATCTAAATGATCATGTAGATCAACAGGAAGAATCTCAGTGAGTTTAAAAGGCTCCTTCGGGTAGCCTTCACATCTTGGAGCAGGCAAAGGAAGGGACAAGAGACTGGAAGGCACATGCTGTGGCCCTTTAGGAAGGTCCCTGGCATCTGCTGTGCCCAGCAACTGGGGCTTCCAGCAGGAATGAGCACATGAAAATGAAAACGATAGGATATCAGGAAGATATTTACAGGACTTCTCTAAAACAGTAAGAACAGCAAGGTGGAGACTGGGTTTTTATTTCTATGGGGATAACTTACTACAAGGGCTCCCTATCCCTGCAGAAAACTTGGGTTGATTCTATAAAGGGAACTCTCCTTCCCTCCAATTCTCATAACGTTAATTAAAGGAAAATTCCTAGAAGTAAGGATCTGAGTCCTTCTGGGCAGGGATCCAGAGTATAGATGATGTGCACGTCTGCCCAGGGCCCAACCCCTCCAGGTCATGACTCTGGGAACTCCAACGACTGCTCCTCAACAGGCAGCACTGAAGACACAGCTCCAACCAACACAAACTACTAAGGTACGGTATTGTGCCTTTTTGTCGAGGTCACCTTTCAAAGAATTCAGAGCAGCTCCTTCTGACTTGGTGCTCCTCTTACCCTCACAGCTCGGCAGGAATCAGGAGGTAGGAGTGCTATTACCAGCAGGGATTTTCATGGATGGATAAAACGGTCACAATGCAAATCCTCCAAAAAACTGGGCTCAAAACCCAAGCATCTTGTCCTCTAGGCCAGCATGAGGTCTGAAAAGTGTCACTGCCTCTAGCTAACAGAGGGGAGGCGAGACAACTCTGTCCTCCTAAGGCCAATAATGGGAATTCTCACCAATGCATAAAGAGACACATTAAAAATGTATCTAAAGGGCAGCCTGGATTGCAGTCTTTTGCAATCAAGAACCTGGGAGTCTCATGTTCTAGGGATGTCCTTTTAGTGGACCATAGGGGTAATTTAATTCCCCTACTTCTAGAACCCTCCATTTATCCCCAAAATATAAAGCCCTTCTGGACACCAAATACTGACATAAAAATAATATTTGTGTAACAGGAAAGAAAGCAAATGCCTCAACCAATGAAAGTCAGCCAAAGCTTTAGAATTTCCCAATTAAAATACCTGATTTGTAGTACAGGGATGGCTCTGGTGTCTGGGAGGCAAACTGAGGCACACTAAGGCCTGGAGCTTACCAGCTGATGAAAGGAAGGGCTCTCCTAGCTACCTGGAGAGGCATCCCTGAGAAAGCAACGCTGCGGGGCTCAGACTCACACAGTGCTGGCCATAGTGCCGTGGCTCAGACTCACACAGTGCTGGCCATAGTGCCGTGGCTCAGACTCACACAGTGGCTCAGACTCACACAGTGCTGGCCATAGTGCCGTGGCACCTCAGCCCTGCCAGGACGGCACGCTTCCCGCCAACAGCTGCCCTCAGTGGTTCATGCAGTGATAAAGGGAGTTTGAGGCAAGGCCTCTAATCCCCGAATGCTTGGTGCCTGCCTGCTGACAGTGGTCCTCACGTCTCCTGGAGGCCAGGGTACCAAGAAGGCCTTGGTCCTAGTCTAACCAGAGGCCAAATGGATATGTACCTTGAAGCTATAACCTTGATCTACCAAGAATCTCTGCCGCTTGGTTGAGTAAGCCATTTCCTGTGTGTCCTGGGATACCAGTGAATAGAAAAAGGCATTGTACTCCTCTGCAACCATCCCTGTGGGAAAAAATGAGAAAAGGAAAGAAAGAAGACAACATTAGCCATTAGAATGCCAAGAGCTCAGGGTCCCAGGTTCAAAAGCAAGCACTGCAGTGGAAAAGCCCTGAACTCGGGGTTACCACCTGAACTTGGCATGCGATTGCATCAAAATTTAGAAGTCTTTTATGCTTCCAAGGACACCATCAAGAAAGTGAAAAAACAATCCACAGAACAAAAAAATATGTGGAAAGCATGTATCTGATAAGGGATTTGTATCTAGGTTATATAAAAAGCTATTGAAACTCAACAAGACAAATTAATTATAAAATGGGCAAAGAATATGAACAGATTATTTCTCCAAAAACAATATAACAATAGCCAATAAGCACAGGAAAAGATGCTCCACACCATCAATCACCACGGAAATGCAACTCAAAACCAAAACGAGATTATCACCTCACCCCTACGAGGGTGGCTCGAATCAAAAAAGCAGATAACTGCCACTGTTGTCAAGGATGTGGAAAAACTAGAACCCTCATGCATTGCTGCTGAGAACGCAAATGATGCAGCTGCTTCGGAAAACAGTCTGGCGGTTCATCAAAATGTTAAACACAATGTTATAACCACATGACCTGGCAATTCCACTTCCAGGCATAAATCCAAGAGAAATGAAACTAGATCCACACAAAAATTTGTACATGAATTTCACAGAATTCTTCTAAGAGCCAAAAAGTGGAAACAGCCCAAATGTCCATCAACAGATGTGTGGATAAATAAAATGTGGTATGTCCATGGAATCAAATATTATTTAGCAATAAAAAAGAATGAAATACTGACAGATGCTACAATATGGATAATTTTTTGAAAACATTATGCTGCCGGGTGTGGTGGCTCAGACCTGTAATCCCAGCATGTTGGGAGGCCGAGGTAGGCGTGGATCACTCGATATCAGGAGTTTGAGACCAGCCTGGCCAACATGGTGAAACTCTGTCCCTACTAAAAATACAAAAATTAGCCAGGCTTGGTGCTCATGCCTATAATTCCAGCTACGTGGGAGGCTGAGGCAGGAGAATCCCTTGAACCTGTGAGGCAGTGGTTGCAGTGAGCCAAGTACTCCAGCCTGGGCAACAGAGCGAGATTCCATCTCAAAAAAAAAAAGAAAGAAAAAAAAAGAAAACATTATGCTAAGTGAAAAGAAACCAGTCACAGAAGGCCCTAAACGGTTTGATTCCATTTACATGAAATGTCCAGAAAAGGCCTACAGACATGAAAGTAGATTAGGGGCTGCCTAGGGCTGGGGGTAGGGAACAAGAGGAAATTAGGAGTGGCTGTGCATGGATAAGGGTTTCTTTTGGGAGCTCATGAGAATATTCTAAACATGAATTGTTGTGATAGTTGCACAACTTTGTGAACATGGTATTTCCTAGGTTTTCTTCGAGGGTCCTTATAGTTTGAGGTCTTACATTTACCTCTTTAATCCATTATGAGTTGATTTTTATATGTGGTGATAGGCAGGGGTCCAGTTTCATCCTTTTGCATACAGTTAGTCAGTTTCCCCAGCACCATTTATTGAATAAGGAGTACCTTCCCCACTGCATATTTTTGCCAATTTTGTTGAATTGGCAAAAATATGCAGTGGGGAAGGTACTCCTTATACTTAGTTGGCTGCAAGTACATGACATTATTTCTGGGGTCTCTATTCTGTTCCATTGGTCTATGTGTCTGTTCTGTACCAGGACCATGCTGTTTTGGTTACTGCAAGCCCCCGTAGCATAGTTTGAAGTTGGATACTGTGAGGCCTTTGGCTTTGTTCCTTTTGCTTAGGCTTGCTTTGGCTATTCAGGTGCTTTTGTGGTTCCAAATGAATTTTATAAGTTTTT